CGACAGCAGTGACCGGCCCCCTGTCAGGATGCACCCACTCTCCTATTTCTCCGCAGCCACCTGCCCTGGGCCCAGGGCTCTCCTCCCACTATCTCGGCTGTGCCCACTTGTTCTACCCCTGGGGCAGGGGGATGCCGTGGATGCCCCAGGCCAGCAGAGGCCTTCCCGTCCTCACTGCCCTCACACTCTAACCTGACTTCTCCCTGACGGGGACATGTCATATTGCAGATCCGTGTCGTTTTCTCAGCCACTCGTGTTTAAATCTGATTGTCTTTAAAAAAATTAATAAAAAGCACGCGTATTTTGAAGTTCATGTAGTCTAACATACAGATGAGAAAGTATGATCCGGAAAAATAACTTGTTTGCAGACACTTAGGTTTGTTGTTTATAGCAAAGCTAAACGAAACTTAAAATTCTGTGATGTTCTATCCCAGTCATAGGAAAGAATCATTTACGTGAAAATCAGTAGTAATGAAAAAACCTGAATTCTCAACGACAGTAATATAGTCGATCCCTGTCATTCCTGGTGTTACGTCCTACAGAGTAGCCCACAGACACGGGTTCCTGAGCACTGAACCATCGCTCCCAGAGGAAGCAGGGCTGGGCTCCCGTGAGCGCCTGGTCCTGTCCTCATCAGCCGATCCATACGTACCCTCGTGTGTATCTGGAAAACATCACGTATGTGTGCGCTGTGTCAAAGAGCCCGTGTTAACACCTGCTCTTGGCCCCCTCGCACCGAGCGCCTGGCCAGCCGCACGTAACCGACACCGAAGGAGGCCACCGGGTCTCCTGCGGCCCCTTCCCTGGGAGCACGGCCGCACTCCACGCTGGCACTTTTGAGACCAGTCACCAGCAGACAGCATAAACGTGTGGGAAAATTAGCACTAAATAGACCACAGAAAGGAAACCTGTTTGTGGCATGAACTGGATGAAGGCCCAGCATTGCCTTGTTCAGCCCCCGCTGGGAACGTGCGCGTCTGGTCCTCGGGTTTGTCGCTGCTCTGCGCGGCTCCGCGAGCAATGCAGAAGTTTACAAGTAAATTGTAGGAAGTAGGCAGACTCACAAATGCAGAATCCGCAAGTAACGAGGGTAACTGTAGAGACTCTTTCGATTGAAATTAATGTTTTTGTTCTTAAAAGCTATTAATGAAATAAATGCAGGCAAAAGAAAACATTTGTAGAAACAATTACTATAAACATACAGATTAGCTCCCAAGTTTTTGTAACAGTTGTAAAATTTAGAATGAGATGGGCTGTTCCTTAATGGAAATTTGACTTAGTTTACCAAGTTTGCCGGTTCGTGACACGTGATTCTTTTATCTTTTTATAAAGTTTACGGCATTTCCTGTGTCACAGAAGCTCTGATTGACTCATTTGTTTCTGGTATAACTGTTGACGTCTGAGGGTTAGAAGGTGGTTTAGTCGTAGTATAAATGCTTACTATTTAATAGTAACTGTCCAGATGTTTCATATTTGATCCCCTAAATTTCCAGACATAAGAGTGTTTCCACTTTATAATCGCTGCCTTCTCTAGACGGTCCTGCAGTTGGACTACTACAGCACGCATCCTTTCCAGAGCGGCCTCCTTTCACTTTGTGATACGCACGTAAGCCTCCTCCCTGTCTCCTCGCTTCATAGCTCGTTCCTGTTTGGCGCTAAACGGTCCTCCATTGTCTGCATGGACCGCAGTTAATCTGTTCACCTGCTGAAGGTCAGAACTTTCAAGTCCCGACCATGACGAATAGAGCCACTGCCGTCATTCGTGTATAGCTTGCGCACGGATATAAATTTTCAACTCCTTGAGCCAATACCAAGGGGTGGGGTTGCTGGATTGTACAGTAAAAGTATGTTTAGTTCTGTTAAGAAGCCACCGAGCTGCCCTCCCAGCTGGCCGCCCCGTCTTGCGCTCCCGCCAGCAGGGAAGGTTCCTGTTGCTCCACATCCTCGCTTGCACTTGCTGTTGTCAGTGTTCGCAGTTTCCACCGTTTTCACCGCTGTAGAAGGGCAATCTTACGGTTGGTTTAATCTGCGCTTCGGTAATTACACATGATGTGGAGTATCTTTGCCATCACTGATTCTTCTGTGATGCCATGTCTGTTCAGATGTTTTGCCCATTTCTTAACTGGGTTGTCTTCTTATTGAATCTTAAGAGGTCTTGGTGTATTTTATATAGCAGTCCTTTATCAAATGTGTTTTTTGCAAATCTTTTCTCCGAGTTCATGGCTTGTCTTCTCATTTTTTTGACATTTTCTTTCACAGAGCAGAAGTTTCTATTTTTAAATTTTTTCTAATGTTTATTTTTGAGAGAGAGAGACAGAGCATGAGCAGGGGAGGGGCAGAGAGAGAGAGACACACAGAACCCGAAGCAACCTTCAGGCTCTGACCTGTCAGCACAGAACCCAACGCAGGGCTCAAACCCACAAACCGTGAGATCATGACCTGAGCCGAAGTTGGATGCTCAACCGACTGAGCCATCCAGGCGCCCCAGAAGTTTTCAGTTTTAACGGAGTCCAGATTATCACATTTCTTCCGTGGATCATGCCTTTGGTGTTGTAGCTGAAGTCATTGCCATATTCAGGGTCATCTCGATTTTTCTTCTGTGTTCTAGAAGATTTATGGTTTTGTGTTTTACACTTAGGTCAGTGATGCATTTTGAGTTGAGAAGGATGTACAGTCTGTGTCTGGATTCAGTTTCTTGCATGTGGACGTCCAGTTGTCAAATGATTTTTGCTCAGATTGCCTTTGCACCTTTGTTAAAAACCAAGGTGATTGTTTCTTGGCTCTGTCTCTCGGCTTCTCTCCATTGATCTATTTGTTTGGCCAGTGCCACATGGTCTTGTTGCTGGAGCACTGAGGTCCGTCAGTGGCGGCCCCCATCTTTGTTCCTGTCCTTCAGTGTCAAGCTGGCTGCTTTGTGTCTTTGCTTTCCGTGTGAACTTTAGGGTCAGTTTGTTGGTGTGTTTGGTTTTTAATACATATTTAAAGACCTTCTGTTTTGCCAAAAGCTTGAAGTTTCTCAAGAATATGGACCTTAGGTTATCTGGAGTCATTAATATCTGAATCGTTGCTTTCAGGTTCACGTCTTTTACTCATCTGTTAGCGTTTGATGGGTTTTTAAAGAACACATTTGGCTTTTGAAATCAAATCTCTCTCACCTTTTTTTAAACAATCCCCAAGTTCGCAAACAGTTGCAGTTAGCAAACAGTACAGATCGCTGCTTTCTCCTGAACCGTGAACGAGTACGTTCCCAAAATGACGCGCCATCATCCCTGATGTCGTGTGTTACCTACAGAAGAGGATGCTCTGCCAGACGGCCACGGCACAGCCGCCAAAATCAGGATCTGCTGCTACTGTCTCGTTTGCAGACCTCATTCGGCTCTGCCTGGTCGTCCCCGTGATGTCCTTCCTTGAAAGCCACAGGGTAGCTCAGAAGCACACGTGGTCGTCACGTCTCCGTGTGGGTTTGCCCACCGCTTCCCCCGATGGAGTGCGGGAACTCCGGTGGGCACCGTGCCCTCGCGCGGCTCCTGCCGGGGTGGTGCAGTTCTGACTTGTTGTGTCACTGGAGGGGGTCACGGGGACCCCTGGGTGCGGGCGATGCCTGCTGGCCGCCTCCGCTGTAGTAAGTCTGTGGGGAAGTACTGGGAAGTGTGCCATTGCCACCGTTCCTTTGATGTACTCGTTTATCTCCTTGCGTGCAGCCCTTTTTCTCTTGCATTCCGTGGGTTGTTACCATGCTGTCCTTGATGCCTAGACTGTCCCGACTTGGACAGTGAGAGCCATTCTGGCTTCAGGGCCCCTCAGGCTGTCCTCTCTGTGTTTGAACACTTCTGGCTTTCGCGCAAGAAAGTTGTAGGCTTTCGTTTGTAAATCCGTTCTCCCGTGGCGAGCAGCCTGGCTTCCAGAACGCTACGCGTGTTTACTTACCTCGTTCCCGCGCGTGACCCATGTCCCAGCATCGCCGGCACCGCCTTGCGGGTGCAGGGCCCCCTCTCTGCCTGCACCGGCTCCCTCGGCTGGGGTTCTGGCACCCCACGTGGGCCCGATAGCTTTCATCATGTGCTAGGGGTGTGGTTTTGTAATTTTGTGTTTGTCTCTGATTTATAGAGCTTGAGACACTACTTTTACAGACTCTTCCTGGGGTGCTCATTTCTGCTGTGTGGCTGTGAAAAGCTTAGCTTTCAGATTGACTCCTCCCAAGGGTGACGCAGCTCTTTTCCTGCCTGAAATCTCCCCGTGATGGGGTCGTCAGAGCCGCTGTTCCTCCGGGGACCGTTCTCTCCATCCAAGCCCCTGACCGCCGCGTGGGGCTCTTCACCAGCTCCTGAGAAGGCAGGTCAGCTTCGCGTTTTGCCCTAGAACTTACACGTCAGACATTTTCCGTGTGACTGAACTGCTTGTTTTCACTTCTCCCATTTTCGGACAGTCATACCTTTTCCCACCGAAAACCGCAGAGCCGCTTTCTCGGATTGGCTGATCACTTGACCTCGTATCTCTAGCAGTTCGTCATTCGTCATTTCAGGGTCTCTTTACTGATTGGCTTGCTTTGCTCTGGGTCGGCAAACTGTGGCCCGTGAGCCAGGACTGGTTTTTACATTTTTAAAGCAACCCTGTAAGAGAAGGACGTGTGGCTGAAGGAGCACGTGTCCCCGGCCTGAGCCACCGTGTCGGGGAGCAGCGTGCCGTCTGGCTAGAGCGCGGTGATGCTACTGGGCTACTCTTAGAAAACGAGGAAAGGAAGAAATGCTTCTCTGATCGTGAGACAGTTTGTGATCTTTAACTTTTCTTGTAACTCTGAAAACCAATTAAAATTACCCAAAGGCTTCTAAGTCGGGTGAAACCATTCTTTCTAAGGTGCTATATGCCGTCCGGTATTTAAACGGAATATGTTTTTGTCAGATCTATAAAGATTCGTTGGTCATCAGATCATAGAGTCCAAGACCTGTGGTATTTCACACACACACGCTGGGTGTGATGCTCGCTCCGAGCTGGTCGTTTGGGGCCTGGGGTTCTTGACCTCCCCATGAGCTCCCTGAAATAGTGCAAAGCGGCGGCCGGGAGGGGCCCTTCCTCTCAGTCCACTGTCTCCCATGAGCTTATAACCTCAGAAGGTGAAGACGCACTGTCCTTCACCTGCTCTGGCTGTTTCCAGGCAGAGTGAGTGACATTGTCAGACATACAGCTGACATTTCAGGATTCACAGCTTTCCCAGGGAAGCGTGAGCCTCGAGCGGCGTGCACTTGACCGGCGGCACGACCTCTGGGGTGCACGGCCCGTGTCCCCTGAGTCTGCACTTCATTGAGCGGGCGGCTCTTGTCTTCCAGATGAGCAGAACTACCTCCTCCGAGACGCTGAGGCCGAAGTGCTGTTCTCTTTCAGTCTGGAAGAGTCCTTGAAGAGGGCACACGCTTCTCCACTCTTCAAGGTACACTTTAAAGGGAAAGGTCCCCACGGAGTTACAGATGGCACGGTTGGAGGTGACACACGCCTGGCGGGGGGGTGGGGGGGAGCCTGGTGCTCCTCCCGGGACATGTTACTGGAGGTCTTGGCCGGGGAGACCCAGTGTGCCTCCGGAGCGCGTGGCCAGGGATAACTTAATCGGTGCGAGGCATTTAAGTTGGTTTTTCTGCTTTTAACAAATCTTTGCTACTTAACGCTCTTCTCATTAAACGCACACGCAGCTGGAGAAAGAAGATTCTTGGCAAAACGTGAATTGAATGTATGCCTGAGTAACTCAAGGCTGAAGACGTTTAAACATTTGTTAGAGAAGCTACTTGGACACACACAAAAAAACGTTCAGGCTGCTCTGTTTTTACACCTAAGGAACCAGCTGAGGCACAAGAATGCCGTTAGGGTGTATCTCCCTCGAAACAGCAGAGTTTTCCAAACGTTAGTTCTTTTCCTGCAAGTAGTTTAACACCGTGCTTTATGGAACACTTGAAAACAAAGGCGTTAGGAAACTGAACCTTAACCATCAGAATCATTTCTTATTCGGAGCACCGACCAGGCCCGGGTAATGACGAGAACACAGGCGCTGTGCCTGCCTCGCGCTTGACAGACGGAGGGGGATGATCTAATGGCCATTTAGAATTCTGTGGAAATTGTGAAAAACGTCTACACTGTTCCTCCCGATCGCACAGAATTCTTCGTGTTTTTTAGGAACGTCAGTTCCAGTCACTTGTACTCCTCACAGCTCACACCTGACCTAAGGACAGGCTTGTTTTTTCCACACTTACCTCCTGGCTTCCTCCACGCCCGTCTCAGGCTGGGGACTCGCGGCGGGGTGGTACTTCCTTCCGGAACTTCCCGAGACGACACATTTTGTCGAAACCCTCAGGGTAGGATTCATGAAGACTGACGTACCCTAACGATTCAAAGTGCACGTATTTTCGTTTCATTTTTAGGCAAAATATTTTTACATCACGCCTGGAATCTGCCCAAGCCTGTCAACCATGAAGGCGATCGTGGAATGTGCAGGGGGACGAGTATTGTCTAAACAGCCGTCTTTCCGGAAACTTGTGGAGCACAAGCAAAATAAGGTGGATAGAAGGGAAACCGCCGACTCCTCGCCGTCCCAGACGAGATTCGCTGTTCGGTGACCGATAAACTCCCTTTCTTTTCCTTAGAGCTTATCAGAGATCATCTTAATATCCTGCGAGAACGACCTGCACTTATGTCGGGAGTATTTCGCACGGGGCATAGGTACGGTGTGTTGCCGTGTTTGTGGGCGCGAGCGCACAGCAGCGCGTCCGTCCTCACGGTCCGCCCCTCTCTTTCAGACGTCCATAACGCAGAGTTCGTGCTCACCGGGGTGCTCACGCAGACACTGGACTATGAATCATATCCTTTTTCTGAAGGCGGCTCGGTGCAGGGCCCCCCTCCCCACTAGGATCAGAACCGCACGCATCCGTGTGGCGCGGGCGGTAAGAGGCCGGCTGCATCGTTGCAGGTGCCCTGCCGTAAGCTAGGAGCATCTGTCTTCATACGATTCGTACTCTTCCGTCTTTTCCGGATTTTTAGACGTTTGTGAATGTCTAGTCTGTGCCACCTTGACTTTCAGAAAGAACTGCTTTCGGAAGTCATCTGGGTGATGTGGGGGTGTCCTCTCAGGGGCCTCGTGTCCTGTCTAGAGACGGAACGGAGCCTGCGTGGAGAGCTGCCGGGGAGGGGTGGTGGTCCTGTGCGGGGCCCCAGGGGCGGCTGCCTGGGCTCTGCCTTGTGGCCGAAAGTGGCATCCGCCGTGACGCGGCCTCGGCTTCGCCGCCTCCGCGGGGTGGCCGCGCTGGCTCTTCACGGGCGCTGGTCCCAGGCCCCACCGCAGAGAGGCTGGGGTACGCGGGCCGTGGCAGTCCGTGCAGGGCACGTGGAAAGCTGCCCCGATCCGGGTTGCCTGGTTTGAGTGGGTACGAGGAACGCGGTCCAGGGTCTTAGATGGGCCCTGACGCTGGTTAACTAGACTTGGGGTCCCGTAGGGATGTAAGCTTGCCTCGTGTTTGAAGCATGTTTTCCTCAACAAACCTACGTATAAATTTAACTGATGGCATCTGCACCGCGACTGGAGTCCTGGGCACGGGCCCGGCCGCGGCCGCCGTCGGGTGGACGGACCCGCTTCCTGCAGAGGCCCGCGTTTGCCAGCTGCTTTGGGAGGCAGGCGCTCTAGAGCAGGAAAACCAATAGGATACATATGCTGCATCTTTTTAAGATGTGTAATTTTATTCTGAGGAAACATAAATTATGTTTTGTATGATATGAATTTATGAGCCCACATTAGGTTTTATGATTCATTTGCCAGGTTTTTAAATGTTTTCACAACACTGTTAACAGAACTTCAACTACAAATAAAATGGTGTAAATAAAGACCTTGCTATCTCTAAATTATGATGTTAAAGATTTGAAATGTTTTGTACTTTGATTATTTTTATTTCTTATACTCTTTTCTTTTATATTGATATCTTGCCCACATTTTAAATAAATGTACTTTTGAACTTAGAATTTATTCTGTATTTTTTTTTTTGGCATCATTTATATGACGTGCATCAAACTGGATCACATCTTAAGTCATTCCAAGACAAAATATATTCTTAGCTTTTCCCAAAGAAATCATTTCTGGAAGGCAGCCATTCTCTGCCAATGTAATAAGCTCCCAAGCAGAGGGGTACCCAGAACGTTCAGCAACCCCTGCGATGCGGACACCGACCAGTCGGAACCTCGGACACCACATATCCGTCCTGCTCCCGCCCCACACGTGGCTCTCACACACTGCCTGGTGGATTGTGGGTACCATCAAATAACGAGAGGCCACTGTCTCAGCAGGTAGGTCAGTCCTGACACATTTGTTATGCTGTCCTGTTCAGTACAGGAGCGTGTTTAAGCAATACCACCACAGAGGTGCTCTTACCGTGCTCATCTGGCGTGTTCAGAGTTTGCTTCCGTAACGATTCCCGAAATGCCTTCCTAGAAACAGACGTCTTCCTTGGAACAGTTGTGACCCACTTGATGGTTTATTCTCTAACCGCACAGCCTCTACAGTTTAACTCTTGAACTTGGTTTAGGCGGAACACCTGCATTAAAAACATGAACACAGAATGAATTGAATTCCATGTTGGGAATTCTTAGTGTTCCTGTAGGGCTCCAGTGACGATCACACGCTCAGGACAGTTTCTTCGGGTGTTCAGCTCTGCTGGGGTGGGACCACGTGGAGTTCTTCCTACAGGCGGAAGGGACATCACCACACACTTCATAATTTTAAGGTACGGGTCAGCGTCTTCAAGTGATTCTCCCCTGTCTAACCCTTGACCTTCTGCGTGTTTCCTAGTGACCTGCCCGATTACCGTGTGGGCACACCCTCAGTCTTAGCGTGACTGACACGTATTTATTGTTGTCGGCTACTAGGAGTATATTATCTTGAGCTCTTTGAGTATGTGCTACGAACAGTGCATATTCTGGCATTTACTTGTATTTTTAACAAAATGTGCCTGCTTAGAAGCTAATAATTTTGCACCTAAGCAGACTTAGGAACACTCACCTGCAGAGGCGCCTGGGTGGCCCGGTTGGTCAAGTGTCTGACTTGACTTCGTGTCACGTCGGTTCAGGGACTCAAGCCCCGCCTTGGACTCTGTGCCGACAGTGTGGAGGCTGCTTGGGATTCTCTCTCTCCCCCTCTCAGAATAAACAAACAAAAAAAATCCCCTGTAGAATTGGAATTAGTGTCGCTACCAACGTAGATCCCGCAAGATCCTGAAAGGGAAGCAGAGTTTCCCAACCGAGAACACGATTTCGATTCAGAATGCCACCCCACTGCTTCCGTGCTCAAAAGCGAAGGCGCGGACGCAGAGCCCCGCATCTGTTCAGTCTGCGGCAGAGACGGGGCGTCTGCTTAACCAACACGCGAGGATGACTGATTTGATTAACCTTTCAATTAGTGTTTTTTTCCAAAAGCTGCCAAGAAATCATCCTTAAGCACTCCAGGAGCTGTCTGCAGCCAGCTGGCTCACGCAGCTGTCGAGCACGGATTTGGCGGCTCCGGGGAAGCTCCAGAGGAACACGTAAGAATAGAGACTTCAGGTAAACGCTTCTCACGGAAGTTGATGAGAGGAGTTCTTTTCTCTTAAGAAAACAAAGTCTTCATCCCGTGTTGTCTGGCTCAGGGTTGTTCAGCAGAAGCGGGCACTACATGTGCGATTTAAAAATTCCTAGTAGCCACACGAAAATTTAAACAACTTTTAAGTGTTCGCAATTTTATTTAACGCCACGCCAGCGTATCTAAAATATCGTCCCATGGGGCGCCTGGGTGGCGCAGTCGGTTGAGCGTCCGACTTCAGCCAGGTCACGATCTCGCGGTCCGTGAGTTCGAACCCCGCGTCGGGCTCTGGGCTGATGGCTCGGAGCCTGGAGCCTGTTTCTGATTCTGTGTCTCCCTCTCTCTCTGCCCCTCCCCCATTCATGCTCTGTCTCTCTCTGTCCCAAAAATAAATAAACGTTGAAAAAAAAAATTAAAAAAAATAAATAAATAAAATATCGTCCCAGTGACAGATCATCAATATTAGATTACCGCGACGGTGGTGGTTTTCTCGGTGCCGTCTTTAAATAATCTATTGTGTATTTTACGCTTAGAGCGCATCTCGATTCTGACAATAAATTTTCATTAGAAATGGTTTCTCTGTATTTAGATTTCATGCCACTTACAGTTTAAAAAGGTGGACGTGCCCAAGCTATCCTAAGCAGGACTGTTTCCCAGCAACAAAGTTCGTGGCCGTTTTTAAGTTAAAGCTAATCCTAAAAAGATGAAAACCAGCTCCTTACCTGCATGAGGCTCACTTCCATGCTCGGGGACCCGGTGTGGCCGTGTTGTGTCTGCAGGGCCGGCGGCCACCCGTGCGGGCTCCCTTTGGCACCGCGAGTGCCGGTGAGGAGGTGGACGGTCCATCTGAGAAGCTCCAAGACCGTAGTACCCGGAATTCTGCTCCCTGCCACAGACGGGTGGCAAAGGGGTGTCCATTTGCAGCGGGAGGTGCGTCGTGTCGAGAGGAGAGTGGGAGAAATCCTGCGTGTCCCCGCGGTCACCGGGAAAGGTTGGACGTGTTGTAATCCACCTCTGGGGACTGCAGAAGGAACGGTTGAGTGGGACCGGCCACACGACGCCACGTTCTTCAAACCCTGTGGCTTGCGAGCGAGCAAGGCCCCGGAGACGGCCCGCAGGCAGGAGGCAAAGCCCCTCAACCCAGGCACCCGCGCTCTCGGGGAGCCCTCCCGAGTCCCCGATGTCTGCTCGATTAAAAAGCAAGCGTGCAGTTAAGGAAGGTCTGCATCCGCGGGAACCTAGCTGCCTCTGCACACCCACCGGTGACTGCACTCCCACGTCTGTTCCATCAGCCGCCGCGCCCCCGTTCTCGTCACACCCGATGGCCGCCTCCGAGCTGCCGCGGCTGGCACGTCCCCCGGCTGTCCCCCGCCTCACCGCCTGTCCGCACGTCCCCTCGCTCCGTCAGCTCACTTGCACAGATGGTCGCGTCTGTCCGTCCCCATTCCCGCCAGGCTCATCTTGCCTCCTGTCTCTTCCCCTCCCTGCTGCCCTCCGTACTGTCCCACGGTCCTGCTAAGAAGAAGGTACCCAGGCTGTGCGGCCTGAAGTCCCAATGCCTCGGGACGTCCCCACCCAGGCCCTCGGTCCCGTCAGCCACACGCACCGCTTCCTGCCGCTCCGTCCGGCAGCCTCTCCTGCTCACTGCCCCGGAAAGCCTTTCCTGCTTCCCTCCGATTCTGTGTAAAAAACGCCTTTGAGGCATGCGCTTACTTGTCTGCACAAGCAACAGAGCGAAAACAGGTAAATCGGGCATCAAAATTCAAGCCTGTTCCGTATCAACAGACACCACCAGCAGTGAAAAGACAAGCTACTGAATGAGAGAAAACATTTGCCAATCCTGTATCACATAAGGAGCTCAGGTCTAGAGTATATAAAGACTCCAACTCCACCACAAGAAAAAAGCCTGGTTTTAAAATGGGCAAAGATGGGGCGCCTGGGTGGCGCAGTCGGTTAAGCGTCCGACTTCAGCCAGGTCACGATCTCGCGGTCCGTGAGTTCGAGCCCCGCCTCGGGCTCTGGGCTCATGGCTCGGAGCCTGGAGCCTGTTTCCGATTCTGTGTCTCCCTCTCTCTCTGCCCCTCCCCCGTTCATGCTCTGTCTCTCTCTGTCCCAAAAATAAATAAACGTTGAAAAAAAATTTTAAAAATAAAAATAAAAAAAAATAAAATGGGCAAAGGACTCCACAGCTGTGTCTCCAAAGGTGAATGGCCAGTAAGGTGCTCAGTATCCTCATCGTCAGGGAAACGGAGATCACAGCCACAGTGAACCACACCTCCCACCCATCAGGACGGCTACTGTCAAAAAAA